GGGGCGCCTGGGTGGCTCAGTTGGTTAAGCGACTGCCTTCGGCTCAGGTCATGATCCTGGAGTCCTGGGATCGAGTCCCACATTGGACTCTCTGCTCAGCAGAGAGTCTGCTTCTGACCCTACCCCTCTCATGTTCTCTCTCTCATTCTCTCTCTCTCTCTCACTCTCAAATAAATAAATAAAATCTTAAAAAAAAAAATTACCGATATAATGGTTAGAATGTAGTCAACAAAATAAACATTTAATTCCTCAAGTTTGACTTTTAAATCATCCTCTTTGAATATAAATTACACAAACACTTATCTTTTTATCAAACTAGATATTCAGAGTTTTAGTATGATTTACTCTCCATTTGGTCAAGATGACAAAGGTGAAGCACATTTCTTTGAAGTGCGGTGGCTTCCAAATTTTTGAAACAGTGCACTTATTCCTCAAATGAATATTAAGGAATAAAAGTATCCAGTGACGTCTGGGTGACTCAGGCTGTTAAGCGTCTGCCTTTGGCTCAGGTTATGGTCCCAGGGTCCTGGTATTGAGCCCTGAATTAGGCTCCCTACTCAGCAGGGAATCTGCTTCTCCCTCTCCCTCTGCCCCGCCCCCTGCTTGTGCTCTCTCTCTCTCTGTCAAATAAATAAATAAAATCTTTAAAAAGAAAGAAAGAAAAATATCCATAATAAGGAAAGGTGGAAAAGAAGAGGAGAGAATTTCTGAAGCCAGAATGGGGAAGCTGGGATGGGAGGTAGTTGGGGAGAGGACAACTGGAGAGAGGGGGCCCAAAGATCTAGCCATTTGACAACATTGATCTACCCGTCAGGCAGCATTTTAGGCAACTTTGGAGGCTCCATAGAACATAGTTTGAGAAGGATTATCCAATATATTTTAGGGTAATTTAGATAATAAAATTATAATAACTATCTTAAAATCTTGTAAGTATATTAAAGTTGCAAGTCTAACTGATATTCTAATCAAATTCTGCTTAAATGTGATATTATGTAATATGCATATATATTTCATTAAATGCTACATTTTATTTTATGTGTTAAACTTGCATTTTTTATTTTCAAGTGGTGGAGAGTATCCTGAGGCACTTAATTCCTGTTTCTGCCTGTGGCTTATATTCATCTCTTGACCATTTCTGTCAAAATGCAAATGTACTTTTTACTGTAAAAAACTAAAGTAAATTATATTTAATAGGCTTTTAAATATAGTTTTCTGGCACAACACTTAATTTAAAACGGACAATTTTACTCTTTTACACTGTGCTTTGGGAATATTTTTGAGGATTGATGTATTTCTTTTGATTGTTCTCTTATTTTCTGATAAACAGTACTGTAATAAATTTTGATCCTGCCTTTGGTCTTGATATTTAGTAGCTATGTATTTGTTTTCTTTGATAGCAACATGCATTAATATTTATAACCATTTTCCTTTGCAGCATCTCCCAGATGGCTCTGTGCCCAGTGCACATGTTGAATTTTATCTTTTACCATACCCCAGTGAAGTTCGTAGGAGGAAAACAAAATCTGTTCCAAAATGTACCGACCCCACTTATAATGAAATTGTAAGTATGATTCATCCCTTGTCCTGTCGCTTTGTATTTTTTCTTACCATTTTTTAGCTTAACAACCAAATATGGAAAATTTGCAGTAGTTGGCAGCATTATTCCATAAAGGGAAGACATTTCACAAAATAGCCACTATGTGCTGATCACTGTTCTAGATGCTATGGGAACTGGAAAATACAGATTCTGCTTTCAAAGCACTTACAAACCAATTTTCAAATTATGGCAAGCCTCCAGCAAGAGCCCAGGATGGATTTTTTTTGCCTAACATTATCCCTGACTTCATCTTATTTTCTCTAACCTTATTTTCCTTTACCTGGTTTTCCTTACCAAATAACTTTATCATAGTCTTTCCTGTGTATAACAATAAACTTCATAAAATCTCCTTTGAAAAACAAAAGAAAATAACCAAGTACAAAGCACAAATTAAATTAACTTACATGTAGCTCTCTAATTCATTTGTATCTCACAATTTGAATATCCAATCCCCTACTTCTTTCTGAGGCAAACCCTACATTTATTCTCTTGATTCCATCCCTTCCCATCTCTTCTGTACCTTGCTCGGATGATTATTTGTTTGCCTTTCATAAGGCTCTCTTATCCACTGCATCCTTAGGTCAGTAATCTTAAAAAACAAACAAACAAACTCCTCAACTCAGCCTTTCTAAAGCATCCATATTTTCTTTCCCTCCCTAGCACCCTCAGACTTTTGCAAAAGTTGGGGTGCCTTGTGTGGCTCAGTCGGTTAAGCGTCTGCCTTCAGCTCAGGTCATGATCCCAGGGTCCTGGGATGGAGTCCCGCATCGGTCTCCCTGCTCAGCGGGGAGCCAGCTTCTCCCTCTCCCTCCCCACTCGCTCTTGATCTCTATCGCCATCTCTGTCTGTCTGTCTCTCTCTCTCAAATAAATAAATAAAAAGTCTTTAAAAAAAAAACTTTTGCAAAAGTGACTCACAAGAAACGTGACTCACATTTCTTGCTCTCACTTCATCACTTCCTTTGCATCCTTCAATCCTGTGCAGTGTGGATTCTGAACTTAATTGATGCTGCTTTCTTGGAGTGACATCCGTGGCCTGCTAATGGCTTAATCTAATGAGCCCTCTACTCTACTGAGCTGTTACACAGCTGCATTGCTGGCTGCAGGCTCTTTTTTACACCTCCCTTTTGCTTGAGTCTTACCTTCTCTTAACTCCCTTCCATCTTTGATCACTCACTCAATTTCCTTCATTGCCATTCTTCCTTTGAAAACTATTGTTGTTTGCTGGAATTCCACGATCTACCCTCATTGCCTCGTGATACATACGCTCTCAAAATTATCTTATACACCTACAAATTTTCATTTAACACCTCTATGTGGGTTGCATCTGAATTTATTCCTCCAGTCCTGGCTTCGGTCCTAACCTTTTGACCTGCGCTTCTGCCTGATTACTGAAGAGAGCTTCATTTTAATGTCTCCTAGACACTTTTAAACCAGGCGTCCCTCCTCTATTTACCATCTCAAAAGATACATTCTAACGACACAGCCCTCTCTCTCACTCATTTTTCCAACGAATCCCCAAGTTTTGTCAGTTTAACAATTTGTTACGTGTGCAGCTACCTGCCTCTTGCATCCATCACCTTCTGTTGGCCCCATCGCTGCTGCTTTGTTTGACATCCCTGTGACTTTGGCTATTATATAATAGCCTCCCATCTGCCTCTTGTGTTTTCAGTTGAATCATTCACATTTCTATCTAAGATGTCTTTCAAAAACCAGTCATATTTATTTCTCTACTATTTAAATTTTTTTCAAAGGCTCCTCACTGACTACTTGGTAATGTACAGAATCCTAGATGTGACACTGATAGCCCTTAAAATGTGACCCAGTAACTTTCCTGAATGATCACTTGGATAATATAGTCTTCATACACTTTAAAAAAACTGTTTTGAGATCATTGTAGATTCATATGCCATAGGAAGCAATAATACACAGAGAATTCAAATAACCTTTAGCCACTGTCCCTCAATGGTAACATCCTGTATGACTACAGTACAATATCACAACCAGGAAATTGACATTGGTACAATTCACTGACCTTAATGAGATTTCACTAGTTTTACATGTGTTCATGTGTATTTAGTTCTATGCGTTTTTTATTTTAATTCCTGTTAGTTCTATGCATTTGTATCACGTGGGTAGATTTGTGTGACCATCGCCACAGTCAAGGTACAGAAGAGTTCCATCACAAGGATTCCTGGTGCTACCCTATTATAGCCACAGATACTCCACTCCTTCTAATGCCACCGCCACCCCCAATCACTGGCTACTAGTAATCTGTTCTCCATCTTTATAATTTTGTCATTTCAAATGTTATACAAATGGAATCATACAGTTTGTAACATTTTGAAATTGGCTTTTTTCATTCACCATAACTCCCTAGCAAGCCATCCAAATAGCTGCATGTATCAATAGTTTGTTTCTTTTCACTGTTGAGTCGTAGTCGTGGTATGGAATATGATATTTTCTTTTTTTTTTAAGATCTTATTTATTTATTTGAGAGAGAGAATGAGATAGAGAGAGCATGAGAGGGGGGAGGGTCAGAGGGAGAAGCAGACTCCCCGCCCAGCAGGGGGAGCCCGATGCGGGACTCGATCCCGGGACTCCAGGATCATGACCTGAGCCGAAGGCAGTCGCCCAACCAACTGAGCCACCCAGGCACCCTGGAATATGATATTTTCTTTAACTGTTCACCCATTAAAGGACATCTGGGTTATTTCTGGCTTGGGCTATTGCAAACAAAGCTGTTGTGAACAGTGTTCTATAGATTTTTGTGTAAACATAAGTTGTAATTTCTCTAACATAAATGCTCAAGATATAATTACTGGAATACATGGCAGTTGGCATATTTAGTTTTACAAAAAATTGCCATACTCTTTTTCTGTACTGTTTCACACTCCCACCAGCAATGCATCTATTTTCTCTGAATCTCTGCCATTTGTTATTAACTATTTGCTATTTTTGTTATTATTTGTTATTATTTGCTTGTATTTATTATTTATTATTTGTTATTATTTGTAACAAGTTTGTTATTATTACTATTATTTTGTTCTTTTGAAAGGTATAGTGTGATACCTCATTGTGGTTTTAATTTGTATTTACCTAATAACTAATGATGCTGAACTTCTGGTCATGCACTTATTTACCATCCTCTTTGGTGAAATGTCTCTTCATGTCTTTGCTCATTTGCTTATTGGATAGTTTGCGTTTTTACTGCTGAGTTTTGAGAGTTCTTTATATATTATGGATAGTAGTCCTTTGTCAGATAAGTGGTTTGCAAATACTTTCTACCTGTCCTTGGCTTATCTTTTCATCCTCTTCTCAGGGTCTTTCAAATTAAAAGTTTTTAATTTTGGTTTTGTATAGTTTATCAAATTTTCCTTTTATAGACTGTAAGTCTAAGAGCTCTTCACCTAGCACTAAGTCCTAAAGATGTTTTCCGATATTTTTTTCTAAATGTTTTATAGTTTTACAATTTTATATTTAAGCCCATTATCCATTTGGAGTTAATTTTTGAATAATATGTGAAGTTTAGGTTGGAGTTCTTTTTTTTTTTTTTTTTACCATGAATGCTGATTACTCCAGAATGATTTATTGGAAAAGCAATGCAATGAAATGTCTTTTGTACCTTTGTCAAAAATAAGTCAGGAATATTTGTGCATTCATGACCTTTTATTTCCTCATACCTAATCATATTCTCAAGTCACATAAGACATCTTGTCATTCCCTTAATAGTCCCTATGACATCGGAGATGGAGCTCATGTCCTTTACCCTTTCTGCTCTTCTCTGCCAACTTTGAAGCTTACTGCAAATGTGGACTCTGTGAACCACTCTTTCCTCCTACACTCTTACACCACACTTAACCATATTTTACTTAGTCCTACGTGTTTTTCTTCTAGTATATTGTAAATTTCTTGAGGATGAGGAAAATATCTTATCTTCTTAGTATCTTTAAAACTTAGTTGTTTCTAAAAAGATTTGTGGAATTAAATATTTGGGGTAGTTTTATAAGTGACACTTCATATGCATGTGTAAAAATGTAAAATTATATATATATTTATACATATAATTTAGTAAGGAAAGATCTTTTGACATTTTCTTATTTTTCATGATGTCAACAGCTAGAGATATACCCTCCCAACTATATATCAGTAGTTTCCATATGTTCTGAGTACAAGACACCCTATATCAATATCACGAAATTTGTCCAGACTTAATGTTGTGCTTCATCATTTGTAATCTCAGGAAGGTCATAATGACAAAAAGCCACTAACGATTCAAGAGTTTAAATAAATTTGTGTTTTATTTATTTCAAGCTACATGTATTATTTAAAAAAATTAGCAAATACACATGCATGGAGATTATTTTATAATGCTTATTGTATCCATAAATTTTCTAACAACTTGCAGTAATTCTAGCTCCTCCCACATTCATGGCCCATTGATCAGAAATCACTGCAATACTTTCTTCATCAGCCAACACTTGTAGCTTGGACACACACTTTTATACTTTGAACACTTTTAAAAATTGTTTCAAAAACAATAGTCCATAGTCCATGCCTAGTACACTTCAATTTATACATAACCCAAATGAGTGGAAATGTGAATTAATACGTGGATAAGTGACTATTTTTAGTAGTAATGATCATCATATAAACAAGTTTGGTGGGAAAGCTAGTTGAATTTAGAAAGCCAAGAGAAAAAAAAGACAACAATAATTTAATTTTTCTCCCATTATGTTCTGTGTCCATATCAATATAACAAGAATCTTTTTGAATGAAATGAAAACGAAATGAAAAAAAAAGTACACCAGTTTTAACTCTGGTTTTACTTTCTCTTGCCTTCTGCTATGATGTAGGCTTCATCTCTGTGCCAAACCCCTCAATTATTTCACCAACAATGTATATGTGTTTTCTAGGAAGCCCAGTAAATTATCACGTGGCATCCACCTTATTTTTTTTTTAAAGATTTTATTTATTTATCTGAGACAGAGAGAATGAGAGAGACAGAGAGCACATGAGAGGGGGGAGGGTCAGAGGGAGAAGCAGGCTCCCCGCCGAGCAGGGAGCCCCATGCGGGACTCGATCCTGGAACTCCAGGATCAGGACCTGAGCCGAAGGCAGTCGCCCAACCAACTGAGCCACCCAGGCGCCCCCACCTTATTTTTAACTTCTCCCCTGTTTTGCATCCTGAGCACTGCTGCATCAGCCACTCGGTATGACTGGGATTTCTCAAACTGCCAAAGCCCTTCAATGTTCTAGGAAGTAGGAGAGAATGACCTCACTCTCCTTTTTTTATGTAAATCTCTTAAGGGAATAAAAAGGACATATTACATTGCATCACCAATGTCTTACAAAGCTTTTCATGAAAATAATTATTTCCATTTTTATTCAGAGCTCTCTCTCTCTCTCTGTCTCCCTAATACCCAGACTGAGAAAGGTTGAGTCAGGGACGCTGCCAAGAGTCCCTTTCATATCCACCCTTCAGATACTAAACTTTTTTGATACAGGGCCAAGCTTGTCTGTTTGACACTCCCCAGAGTGAGTCCCAACAGACTTTGTCAGCAGTCTCCCTGAAAACCCCTATCATATACAAATCCCTGTTGTAGACATGACTGGGCTGAAGGTAGGGTGGAGCTGGCAGTAGGAATGCTCACAACGCTGTCTACAGCTTTTAAGAAGCAGAGCTAGGATTCTGGCTCCAATGCCATTGCTCTTTCCACTCTATTATCTTTGGCATCTGGTTAAAAACCATCATTTTTTTTCAATGATTCTTTAGAAATACAGATTCTATTTTATAACAGAATTATATTGTTAGAGTCAACGTATTTTTTACATTGTATTCTTTTCTTAGATGTCATTCTATCATAAAATATAAAGAAGAAATTAGAAAGGACATTAGAACAGGAACATTCTATGTGTTTTACATACCTTAAAGTATCTTGCAGAGTGTGTATGATTATTTAGCATAGCACTAAGTATATGGTATACTCAGTAAGCCATAGCCATTTTTATCTATATCCTCTCATTTGATATTCATAACATGATGAAAATTCTATTTGTAAATGAAGTCATTGAGGCCCTGATGTCAAACATTTCAACCAGGGTCAAGCAACTAGTTTTCAAGTCCAGAACTGCCAGATTCCAAAACCCATACTGGTCCCACTAAGTTATGCTCTTGTCCCTCTCTCCCCCACCCAAGAGTTCTCCCGTTCTCACTTATGTTGAACTCTCCTTTTTAATTATCCTGCCTCCTCACTCCCCTCCCAACCAACACATTTCAGTTTCCATGTTATTCGTCTTCTTTAGAATGAAGTCATTCTAAATACAATAAATACACTTTAGAATTATTTACTATACCCCCATGTCAAATAACATACAATGAGTGCTTGTATACAAGTTACCAGATATTAATTACCCTAAACAAGATTTTTCTGTTTCATGTAATAATTTCAAACCTACAAATTCAGTATTTGTCAGAAGACAATGAGGACTTAGTGTATGTCTATGGGTAAAAAGTATTATAAAGTGAAATTGAAAAAGCTGTGCATTTTGATTCTATTCATGTGAAGACAAAATACATAAAGCATTTGGTGAAAAAGTCTCAAAGAATATAATCATTTGTGTACTTCTTTAGCATTACCCACTAATTATTCATTGCACAGTAAGAAAAAAGTGGTTATTTTTTTTCTTTCTTATTTATTTCTTTTTTAAGTTTTCATTTAAATTCCAGTTAATTAACATACAGAGTAGTATTAGTTTCAGGTGTACAATATAGTGATTCAACACTTTTATACATCACCTGGTGCTCATCACAAGTAAGAGTGCTAATTTTTTTAACAACACTTTGGATGCAGTAAAGCAATTAAAATAGACATATATCATCTATGATGTGCAATGATTACATGTTTATAAAACTTCAGTTACTTTTAAGAAAATAATTTTTGCATAATGAAGCCCAGGGAAAGAAATCTGTAAGTTAATATAAACTCTGGAGTTCAAATGTTTGTATTTTAACCAGAAAGGCAATTAATTCTTAAAGTCATTTCTTGAGAATTTCAGCTTGCTAAATACCAGGGAGATTCAATTCTGTCTGGAACTGTTTTCTCCAGTAGACTAATGCAAAATACCAAGAAACAGCTGTTCTTCTTTGTGTATTTGATGGATCTTTTTCAGCTATAATTTACTAGTGTTCAATATGTACCAGACTTTGTAGTAAGGTTTACATTCATTATCTTGCTTATTCTTCCCCACAATGCTAAAGGGCAAATATTATTATCACCATTATGCAAATGAGAAAACATATAGTTGACAATAGATTCATATAAACATAAATTATTATGTCATAGAAATTTATATCTTTAGAGCTTATTTATATGATTCACAGAGTTCTTAAGCCAGACTTTCACAAAACCCTAAGGCTTAGAGTTATTCTATTTTTCTACTTCACATACAGTAACACTTTGAGGGCCCCTTCATCTATTTGCTCTGTAAAATAAATGACTTTGTCTGCTGAAAGTGTTGTGGGGAGGAAAATGGAGGATAGTGTAGACAGTTCAAAATAGCCACTGTAGAGAAGAGGAAAAGAAACTTTCTCTGAAGTCTTGGAAAGATAAGAGTCTAGGAGGAGACATGGCTCACAGAGTCCATACTGGGCATCCCATTGCTATTAAAGAGGATGAATTAATGTGGTAGGGTTTTGAGATTTTTAAGGCAGCCCTTAAAATCCTTTACTATCCCAGGGGAACTCAATAAATGAAATGGAATAATTTGAATCAGCAATCCTAAGAAAATTAAAAGATAATCTTCTGCCTGGAATGAGAGTAAGATTCTACAAGAGGAGGTAGCCAGGAACTGTCACATGAGGCAGGGTAGACTGGATTAACATAGTATATTGCATCTCATGTCCCTTGACTGAATTGTTATTTATTTCATAAGTAAATCATTGTTCAGAAGAGCTGTCAGATTGATCTTGAATAGAATTTCATTGATAACTTTTGGGGTTCATAAATGGTAGACAAATGAAATGCAATGCACCAAAAACCATATCCATACACACTGAGGAGGCCTCCCAACTGACTCAAAGGGCTTCCTTCTTAAGTTTTTCCTCTACTTTTTTGCATATATAGAGAACACTTCTTTCTATCTTGTAGCTTGGCTATAAAAAGCAAGCAAGTTTGTAGCAGCATATGAAACTCCTTTTCTAAATGTGTTCTAAGGAGTTTCCCTGGCAATCATGTTGGATTTATGCACAGCTCTCCCCTCCCTTCATGATGGGTAACTAATTTCTTGATAGTACTACACTTCTGAAGTTTCTTTACTGCTGTAGGCACCCAACGGTAATGCCCATGACTTCTTTCCTGGATATTATAAAGCACAGTTAAACAGATCCCTTTTTAGAAACTAATTACATGACTAGCAAGTGGGAAAGAGCAAGACACAAAACTGTACATACAGCAAAATTACAGCTCAGGTTCTTAAAAAGTAATTATATATGTAAAACAAAAAGAACACTGAAATGTTAACTATAATTATCTTCCAGTGGTGGAAATATGGATTTTCCTTTCTTTTTTGTTTCATACATATTTTATTTAATAAGCATGTGTTTTCATAATTAAAAATTAAACCATTTTAAATAAATTAAAGTAAGCATAGAATGAATTCTTCACATGTAGATGGAAATATTGCTATACTGCACTAAATTAACAAGGAAATCATGGAGATTGGTCTGCTCTCTTCATTAGTCTTCAGCAAAGAAAGATAGTGTTCAAGGTCCCATGTTGCACAATAAATTCAAGGACAGTTAAAAGGTGATGGGTACTTAAATTTCTTCCTAGAGAATAATTTACAGTCATATTAAATTTGGGATGAAAATTATTAATGGAATCAGAATAAATTCTAAGCTTCTTAGAGAAATATTCTGTCATTAAACTCCATTATGTTAGCAGAATCTTTAGCTTTCCAGAATTAGAGTTAGACATGAAAGATTCTTCATTAACCTAACTATTCCAAGCTAAATGATATTAACAGCTAAATATTTTTATTAAAAGCAATATTTTTAAAGGTGCATTTAAGCATATCTGATCTATATTTTAATTATTCTTTCCCTTTTCAGGTGGTGTATGATGAAGTCACAGAGCTCCGAGGACATGTCTTAATGCTTATTGTGAAGAGCAAAACCATATTTGTGGGAGCAATTAACATCCAACTTTATAGTGTCCCTCTCAATGAAGAAAAATGGTATCCACTAGGAAACTGTATAATTTGACCATTTCTATCAACCAATGCATTATTCATTAACTACTTATATCTTTTTCCACTTCTAGGCCTCTTTATCACAAGAGCAGGACATTTTTGTTTTCAAAGATAGCTTAGTGTACCAAGGACACAAGAAAAAGAAATAAGAATCGTCTTTGAGAAACAAACTGAGAGTTCTAGGGGGGAGGCGGGTGGGGGGATGGGTTAGCCTGGTGATGGGTATTAAAGAGGGCATGTATTGAATGGAGCACTGGGTGTTATACGCAAACAATGAATCATGGAACACTACATCAAAAAAAAAAAAGAAAGAATAGTCTTTTATAGTAATATATTCTCTATTGTGTTTCATTGTTTTCTTAGAATATTTTCTCCTTAATAAAGTGCCAGTTTATTGTCTAAAATTCAATATGCAAAATAATAACAGAACATTTAATTTTAATATATCTTTTAAATCAAATATGTGTTCACATTTTTTAACTGTGTACCTATGATTACAGCAACACTGTTACTGTGGTTTCCAAGAAATACAGCAATAAATAAATCTCATCAATTAATTCAAGACCTAAGTATATCTGTAACAAATTTTTAAACTTGAATTAAATATATATACTTGCATACTGACTTACACTCCTTTTTATTATGGGAATTAATAAGCTCCAGCTTTTCAATCAGAAAAACAAAGGATAGGAGCGCCTGGTTGGCTCAGTT